GGGAAGAGCCTTTAAGTAAGGTTGCTCAAGTGTGTGTGTGTGTGTGTGTCACATTATATTGTGACTCCAAAAACATATCAATCTTGCAGTTATGAGCTCTTTAAGACAGATCAGTCAGTACATACAGTACAATATAAACCTATTGACATAAAACTGATTTTCTAAAACATTTTTTGTCAATCTAACAGCAGGGTGGCTCTGACTTAGAGGCAGAGCAGGTCTATTAATTAGAAGGTTAGTAGATCGGTCAAATCTGTGTGTCAAAGTATCTTTGGGCGAGATGCTGAGCACTGAGTTGCCCCCAGTGCTCCCACTGGAGGGTGAATGTCAGGTTTAAAGAGCTTAGGCAAAGAAAAAAAACCCACTTTTGTCAATGAATGAATGAGGCTTGTAGTAAGAAAGTGCTTTTTTTCAGTAAGTCACACGTGTAAGGATTTTAAGGGTTTTCTGTAGAAATAAATGTACCAAGAACTACTGTAAGGAGTGTTGATTGTTACACTTGCAACTGAGTATTTATTTATCTTGACACACACAGATCACTAGTTTACAGCACATTACTTTAAATAGTCCTATGAAAAAAAAAAATAGTTACCTTGGTGAAAGTTTACAATATAAATGCTCTGGTTTGTCGCATTAGTTTTAATATTTACTAACCATTAAAGGTTAGAAATATTATCACTAGGACCAGTTTATAAGTGCACAAAGACAAAAAGATTACAAAGATAATAAAAATAAACAGCAAATATGAAAACTGAAACTAACTTTGTTTTATGACGTCTAATAAAAGTGTAATAATAGAGTAATGCAACGAAATGAAGAAAGTAAGTATAATATCGCTGAATCTGACAGTCAAGAGGAAAATAATAAACCATATTACTTCATTGTAGATCAGACTTTATCAGTGTTGAGCCATTTACAGCTAAAGATTTGATTTTTGCTTCTAGCTGAAATTTTGTCATCACCAAAAAAAAAAAAAACCCACACAAAGTGACACACAGCAGAGAACTACAAAATCACAATTCACTCCAGAATGAAGTCTGTAATACATGGAGATGAGATCAATCTTATTTTGCCTCGTGTCTAAATTCTTTCTGAAGTCTTATTTAAAACAAAAAAAATTATACCTTTGATTGTCTCTCTGACTGACCCACTCATGCTGTTCTCCTCTCTGCATGCCCACAGCCCTGCCACA